GAACAATTTCAACAAAGGTTTAATGAAATCAATCAAAATAGCTGCCGTAACCGTAATAATTTATTAACACTTATTGAGTGGATATTGCATGATAATCCTACTGTAGCAATAATCTAATACTACAAAGGGACAACATAATCGCAAAATATATCAATGGAAGTCTTCAAATTGCACCTTGCAAATCGAACAACCACGAATTGAAGTCAATAAAATTTACCAGTAACATCATCGATCACTTTAAAATTGAAAGAATAAATGCTGAGCTGGAAATTTTACCACAACAACAGACCTACAGCAATTAGCAAGCTAAACGGAATATCTGGGAAGAGATCAACCAAGAAAGTACCGATCAGAACAAATCGGATATGGAGTCCACAAAATGACCGAACTAATACAAGAAGAATTGGACAACTTTGTGATGCATTGGCGATTCATCACTTCTGGCGTTTGCGTTTTCGTAATTTGTTTGGTAATAATTATCATTAAAGTGAAATTAGAATTATTCTGTTCCATATTTCATCTATCTTGCATTAAACGTTCAAATCGTACAAGCTCACTGAAATCGATTTAGCCACCTCACTAAAAAACTAACAAAGACAAAATACATTTATTAAACAACCAATTCAAATAGATATTTTTAATTACATCCCCTAAACCTAAAATTTTCTCTCAGTCGGAAGCGTCGGAAAAACCGAAATAGTTGTATCGCAGAATTACTCATCCAAATAGTCATAAGTTTAACTATCTAATCTTCAAATCGTCTAAAAATGTTACCTGTCTCGTTCTACAATTTGTAAAAGCCTTATCTTATGCACAAATCTTGCATACTGCTTCAGGAAGCTGTACATCTCACAAAATAATTTCCTGTAATTTCCTATTTATCTATAAAACCAATCTTATGCCTGGTATGTAAATTTTTTGTAGCTGTGAGACTATTGTCAATTTCTAATGATTGTTACAAAATTTCTCTTCACACATTTCCTTATATAAACCATAAGAAATTCTAACATCAATTCATTCAATTCTATCGGTCGGCACTCAGCCTCCCACAACACACTCTTCATATTTCTCCCAGTTCATTACGTTACTACTTACAAATTTCGCCCATTGTTATACTGGTATTATTCTGGACATCATTCTATAACTGGAATTATTTTGAACCTGTTTCTATTGTATTTGGTATCCGGACGATAATAAAGGATAAACTGCA